ACACAGGGCCTGGGGCAGGACCCTCAAATTCTGTATCATCTGCCTCAGCTATCTGTTGTTACATAACAAATTACCCCCCAAAAAAAAACTTAGCTTAAAATGACAAACATTTATTATCTCACAGTTTCTGTGCACCAGGAATTTGGGAGCAGCTTAGCTGGGTGGTTCTTTTTCAAGGTCTCTGATGAGGTTACAATGAAGACATTGGCTGGGGCTGCCATCATCTGAAGGCTTGACTGGGGCTGGAGATTTCAATTCTAAGATAGCTCACTCCCAGGGTTGCTGACAGTTCCTCCCTGGCTTTTGGCAGGCAGCCTCAGTTCTTACCCACAGGGTCTCTCCGTGGGGCCCCTTAAGGGTCTTCATGACATGCTAGCTGGCTTCTTCTAGAGCAAGTGACCCGAGAGAGAACAAAAAGGAAGCCCCAGGGCCTTCTATGACCTAGTCTTGCTGCCACATACTTTTACTTCCACCATATTCTATTTGTTGGAAGTAAGTCACTAAGTCCAGGCCATAGTCAAGTGAAGGGGAATTAAACTCCACCTCTTAAAGGTAGGGGAATCAAACCACTGCATCATTTGATGTGCACAAAATAGCCTCAGCTGGAGAAATATATATGACAGCCATTACCAACCAGAGAAGTTCTTGATTGTGTGAAGGGGGCAGAATGTACTGAAGAGGTCATGAATAGTAATTAGACCTTCCAGGACTCAAATCTCTAACCCACCACCTACCGGCTAGATAAATCTGAGGAAGACACTTACCTTCTCCGAGCTTTAGTTTTCTTTTGTTTAACATGGAGATAATGTTACCCAATATGCTGACATGTTATGAGAAATAGAGAAAAGGCATGTCAGTCTCTTTCAGGACACACAGTAAATATTCATGAAATGTTAGGTGTTATTAAATTATACTGAGACACTTCTTTGATTTTTGAAGAATTATGAATTGGTACACTGAGTATAGAAAATGGATAAACTGACTCCTTAAAGAGAATTACTTAAGATACACCACACATTTGCTACTATCCGATACAATGATTTTGGTTTGATACTCAGCTCATCCTTCTGGGATATTTATATGTGTGTGCGTGTGTATGTGTGTGTGTATCCTGCCTAATTCTCCGAAGACTCAAATGGCTAACAAAAATATCAATTACAAAATGAATACATTAAAAATGAAATTTTAAGGGGCACCTTGGTGGCACAGTTGGCTAAGCATCTACCTTCAGCTCAGGTCATGATCCTGGGGTCCTGAGATCGAGCCCTGAGGCCTGCATTGGGCTCCCTGCTCAATGAGGAGTCTCCTTCGCCCTGTCCCTCTGCCCCTCCCCCCTACTTGTGCACTCTCTCAAATCAATAAGATCTTTTAAAAATGAAATTTTGAAAATACAAAAAGAAACAAACTCAGGAATATGCAAAGCACAACTCAAAAGGGGGGAAAAAGGCTAAAATGAGGAGTAAAATAAGAAAAATTTGACGCAAAATTTAACTCCAAGCCAAAACGAAGGAGGAACCGTCATCGAGGTCATAAGGAGATACAAAACATCTTTCTTAGAACTTGATTCTGAAAGGAATGTCTCATGAGGAAGTCACCATACAGCACACAGGGATGTAGGACCATCCCAATGGGAGGTACCTAACTACTTTTATAAACCTGCAGCATCCCACAAACATGCGGAGGGCATGACCTCAAGGAACAACTCAATAATGGCAACTCTGCAGGGGTCATAACTGCCTGGTACATCTGGAGAAATATATGGAAGGTGGCCTGCATATCTTCTGCAAATACTTAGTGTCCAGGCTAAGATGATAATAACCACAGTGTGAGTTTTTTGAATACCTACTAAGGACCAGGCAGTAAGTGGGGTGCTTTACATGTATGATGTCATTGAATCTTTACAAGACCTATGAAACAGATAGGTTTAGCCCCCTTTTGCTGATGGGGAAACTGATACACAAAGACAAAGGATAACACAGAGAGAGCAGGAGAGTCACGATGTACACCTGGGCAATCCAGAGCCTGCCCTCCAAGACACCTCACGATGGAGCCCGGAATACTAGGGACTGAGATGGGAGCAGGTATCTATAATGAAACCTGGAAGGCCTGGAAGGCCTGGAAGGCCAAGGTGAGGCCCTCCAGTGGGGACTGCAGCTCCTGCAGTGTGGTTTGAGTGGCTCTGGGATGACAAGCAACATTAACAAGGAGGTGGCCCAAGGGCCAGAAGAAACTCCATTGCTCTTCATGGTTTTGTTGAAAACCAAGGTGTTGCCCTCGTTCTGCTCACTCTGGGACTTGGGCAACACACCACCCAGGAGTCTGGACAAGCTAGGGGCCCAGGTTGTGGGTCTTAAGTAGATGCTGCCCTAGAAGAAATTGGTCTCCAAATAAGATTAGCAAAAGCATCAAGATCCATTAGCTTACTAAAGGCTCTGGGACATTCTGTGCTCAAGAAATCCATTCCACATCCTTTAATCTGCCAGTTCCCAAACTTTGTTTGTTGGAACCCAGGTTAACATCCTGCAGAACTTAGCAAATGCTGGCCCAGCCCATCTCCCAGATCCCTTCTAGCTCATGGATTCCATGGTTTCAGGTCTTCTTTAAAAAGGAATGGTAGGACAAGGACTTCAAAGTCAGAACACTTAAACTTGATTTCAAGCTCTGCCTCTTGCTAACTGGAAAACCTGGGGATGGTCAGTCTCTCAGACCCTCAGTCTTCTTATCTGTAAAACGGGGGATCATGATGGTATCTGTGTCATTATGCTGCCATGAGGATCACATTAGGTCATAAATGCATACTAAACAACTTATAAACTGGACATGGCCTACTCATATTAGCTGTTACTATTATAAATTAAAAATGAAACAAAACAAACCTAGAAATCAATGTTGATAAGTTCCATATCACCGAGTCATCTGCTGGGAACGGCTTTCTTATGGCCCTGCCTGCTCTTAATACTCCACAATAATGATGTATATATTTTTTAAAGGTTTTATTTGTTGGGGCGCCTGGGTGGCTCGGTCATTAAGCATCTGCCTTCAGTTCAGGTCATGATCCCAGGGTCCTGGGATAGAGCCCCGCGTCAGGCTCCCGCCTCTGTGGGAAGCCTGCTTCTCCCTCACCCACTCCCCCTGCTTGTGTTCCCTCTCTCGCTGTGTCTCTCTCTGTCAAATAAATAAATAGAGGCCACCCAGGCACCCCTCAGATTGATACTTTCGATGTCATTTCAATTTAGTGTATGTGTGTCGGAAAGAGAAATAAATTAAAAACAAACAAATGATTCATTCTTCTACACAGCAACCCCCTGGTTGATGAGCCCCTCTGGCTGGGGCTTTTCATTCAATGTCAAAGGCTGGTGGTCCAACTGGAAACAGAACACAAGACAAAGGGGAATTCTTAGAAGAAATTCCTCAGAGAGAGCTGAATTCCACTACAGCAAATCCAATGCAGACAATCTTAAGACACAGCTCTTCAGGGGAAAAAAATCATCCTGGCCAATCCAAAACAGCTCTTTTCCTAAGTAGAAAGAAAGGTGCTTTTTCACACCTCATGCAGGTACCTGGTGACACAGAGTCATCCTGACCCAGACTATACCTCCTGCCTTTTGCACATAACAAATAATATAAAATCTATGTCATGAAAAAAATCACATCCCAAAATCCTCCACCCCATTTGTTATTCTCCGTGGTCCTTACCCAAACCATGACTCTTGGTCAGTTCAAAATAATATTTTCTATTTGTGCAGTGTTTTTATTTTTAAAGAATTGCAAATTTAATGATACAAAGAAGCTGAAGGTCCAATATTGAGTCTGCAATGATGCAACTTTCTCTCTCTCTTTTTTTTTTAAAGATTTATTTATTTATGTATTTGAGAAAGAGGAAGGGAGAGAGAGAGAGTGCAAATGCATGCACGGGGAAGGAAGAGGGAAAGAAGCAGAGTCCCTGCTGAGCACAGAGCCCAACTAGGGGCCTGACCCCCCGACCCTGAGATCATGACCTGAGCCAAAATCAAGAGTCGACACTTTGTATTTCCCTGATGCCAAGTGATGGGGAGCATTTTTTCATGTGTCTGTTGGCCATTTGTGTGTCTTCTTTGGAGAAATGTCTGTTCATGTCTTGTGCGCATTTCTTGATTGGATTATTTGTTTTTTTGGTTGTGATTGAGTTTGATAAATTCTTTATAGACCTTGAATACTAACCTCTTATCAGATATGTCAGTTGCAAATATCTTCTCCCATTCAGTAGGTTGCCTTTTAGTTTTGTTGACTGTTTCCTTTGCTGTGCAGAAGCTTTTTATCTTGATGAAGTCCCAATAGTTCATTTTTGCCCTTGTTTCCCTTGCCTTTGGAGATGCGTCTAGCAAGAAGTTGTTGTGGCCGAGGTGGAAGAGGTTGCTGCCTGTGTTCTCCTCTAGGATTTTGATGGATTCCTGTCTCACATTGAGGTCTTTCCTCTACTTTGAGTTTCTCTTTGTGTATGGTGTCAGAAACTGGTCCAATTTCAGCCATCAGAAATGATGAATACTTGACATTTACATTGACGTGCATGGAATTAAAGGGTATTATGCTGAGGGAAATAAGTCAGTCAGAGAAAGATGATTATCATATGATCTCACATATGTGGCATATAAGAAACAGCACAAAGGATCATAGCGGAAGGGAGGGAAAACTGAATGGGAAGTCATCAGAGAGGGAGACAAACAATGAGAGACTCTTAACTCTAGGAAACAAACTGAGGGTTGCCAGAGGGGAGGTGGGTGGGAGGATGGGGTAACTGGGCGATGGGCATTAAGGAGGGCACAGGATGTGATGAGCACTGGGGATTATACACAACTGATGAATTATTGGACACTACATCTGAGACTAACGATGTACTATATGTTGGCTACTTGAATTTAGATTTTTAAAAACGAAGAAAAAAAGAGTCGGACTCTTAATCGACTGAGCCACCCAGGCGCCCCTGCAATGGGACAACTTTGTCATTTGATTTTTTCTGTAAGAATCTTTCAGACTCTGACTGAATCACTGACTTCACATTGAAGGACGTTCTTGGACAGGCTGGATCCGGGATTCCTCAGGGAAAGCGGTATAACTGTGAAGAAATGAAGCAGCCCTCCTCCCGGGCACCATGGGACCCCGCAGGTGCACCATGACGGCAGCAGCTTCAGTAGGAAATGATGGTTTCCTGCATTTTATTCCATGCCTGGTGTAAAATCAAAAGCCCAGCCTCTGCATTTCCAAACTGTCCTGGTCGCTGAAAACCTAGCACAACTTTTCTTTTCTCCTTTCAGTTTTATGGAAACCGCGGTGCATTAGCACAGAGGAGAAAATGTAACCCGGGAAAATAAAGGAAACCTCATTGAAAATGGAGCCGGGGAGCCCTGAAGGGGGAGCTCTCACCCACGTGCTGCTTCTTGCCGCCTGCAGAACCAGCAGCAGGAGACCAGAGTGATTTCGACAGGACATGTTTCACATAGGAATTCTGTCTCCTGCCTTTTGTTTTGTTTTGTTTGTTTGTTTGTTTGTTTGTTTGTTTTAGGTAATCTCTACACCCAAGCGGGGCTCGAACTTAGGACCCTGAGATCGCATGCTCTTCCGGCTGAGCCAGCCAGGTGCCCCTCTCCTGCTTTTAAGAAAAAGAAGGAAGATGCCTCCCTGCCCAGGCAACAAGCTCCAGCCACCACTTACAGCCAATGGGAAACAGCCACAACCTAACCCCTGTTTCTTTTGTTCAAAACAACCCTCCCCAGTTTCCTCCTAAAACCTAGTAAAAAGTTGACCTTCCCTGTGTCTCTTTGGACCGGCCTGTGGCTCACCATTGCTTGCTTGTCGCAAATTGCAACTCCTCTGCTATGCCCAAATAAATTCATTTCTTAGCTTAAATAAAATTGCTCTTTGCTCTGTTTAAACTTAACAAACCTCTCTTCATTTTGCGAAACCCAGAGAAGCTTTATCATAGCAGCACCTGTAGACTTGGGTAGACTTGGACAAATCTCTCCAAAATAGAAAATTCCGTCAGTAAACTGTTCTAACATGAGCTCTCTGAAGAAACTGCAAAGGTCTTCTGTTTCATCACTTGGTGATTTTCCCCCATAGAACCTCATATCCTATTTTAAACTGTTTCACCTTAAAATGACAAAGTAACCCTTTAGGCATGATATAGCGTCCATTATTTTAATTTGTTTATTAAAAAATAATTGGTCTCTCAAGTAGCATTAGGTCTGAAAAAGGATGCTGCTATCTGTGTTCAGTGCTTTATTTTCCAATCTTCACAATTCTACAATGTAATTATTATTTTCCCCGTTTTTCAAGCGAGGCACTTCATTATTAACGTAACTCTCTAGCCCAAAGATGTGCAATAACAACAACCTTGGTGTTGAACTTTAGGGCTGTATGATTCTAAAGCCTCCTGCACATCATGCTGACTTTTTCACAGCCAACAGAACAGGAGCACGGAATTCCAAAACAGAAAGAAGCTTCAGACATCACCTACCGACAACTCCATTTTATGGGAGGAATTGGACCCGGAGGAGTGAAATGACTCGTTCCCATTCATGGGGCTAATTAGGTGACAAGCACCATCACTTCTCAGCATCTCCTGATTCTGGGTCCCTTCTGGCACAGTAAGACTCGGTGTGAGATTTTGTTGGGATCCCCTTACAAAGGAATACGTGAGAAAAAGAGCATTCGCCCTACTAAGATCTGTGTTGACACATAACACTTGTAAATGTGTAGGGTTTCCACACTTAGCAGTTTTCTGCAGACATCAGCTATGGTATCCTACCGTTTAATTCAATCCTGACACTACCCAGTTAATGTAGATCCCACTGGTTAAGGGCTCAGTTCCACAAGACTGCCCCCAACTTCAGACACCAATCACAAGGGGTGAGTCCCAGGTTATCCACACTGCAGTCCAACTTGGCTACAAATTGAGGGTTCCCCTGACACCCTCTGCCTCATGCTTGATAATTTGTTATTAATGGCTCACAGAATTCAGGGAAACACTTTACTTACTATTATCAGTGTATGATAAAGGATATTATAAAGGATATAAATGAACAGCCAGATGAAGGCAAGATGTACATAGGACAAGGTCTGGTCTGGAAGGGTCCTGAGCACAGGAACTTCCTCTGTCCCCTTGGATTTGGGGGTACACCACCCTCTTGGCATAGGGATGCAATCACCTATCCAGAAGCTCTTTCTAAACCTCATTGTTTAGGATTTCTATAGAGGTTTCATTGCTTAGTTAGTCCTGATTGATTAAATCATTGGCAATGGGTTAATTCACTGAATTCTAGCCCCTCCCCCCTCCCCAGAGCTGGGGGTGGGGAAGGGCTAAAGGTTCCAACCCTGTAACCACTGCTTGATTCCTCTGGCAACCAGCCCCTACCCCAAAACTATCTAGGGGCCTTCCTTAAGTCACTTCATTAGCATAAACTTAGGTAGGGTTGAAATAAGCTTATTACGAATAACAAAAGTTGCCCCTCTAACACCTGCCAGTTTGGAAATAAAATTTTTAGAATCTCTTGTTCCAATAACCTAGTCATAGACCAAATGTACGTTTCTTTTTTTTTTTTTTAAGATTTTATTTATTTATTTATTTATTTATTTATTTATTTAGAGAGGGAGAGAGAGTGCGTGTGTGAGCCAGGGGAGGGGCAGAGGGAGAGGGAGAGAGAATCTCAAGCAGGTTCCACACTGAACCCGGAGCTGACACAAGGCTGGATTCCATGACCCCGAGATCATGACCTGACCCGAAATCAAGAGTCCGATGCTCAACCACTGAACCACCCAGGCATCCCCAAATATTTATTTCTTATATCACAATATCACACACCCCATCTACATAAAATTGTGAATATGTGCAAAGAGATGTATGAAAGATGATCTCTAAAACGTTAATGGTGATTATCTCCAGATGGTGGGATTTCAGATAATTTCAATCCTCTTCCTCATACTTCTTTGAGTTTAAATTTATTTCTCTCTCTCTCTCTCTATATATATATATACAGAACATGCAATAAAGGCAGACACTCAATTAACAACCCTGTGTGTGGTCTTTCTAAGATTCTCATGTTCATATGACAATATACAAACACATGTATATGTATATAAGGGTGCCAATATTTGCTTTATAAAAATGTTTCCCCCCCATACTTTCTCTAAAGTTTGCTTTTGTCACTTGAAAACATATTGTGAAAATCTCTCCAAGTCAACAGGCAAAGCTAAAAGTCATTCTATTTAAAGACTGCATAATATTACCAGGTTGGGAATATGTCACGATTTTACTCAACCCTTCCCCTTTTGATAGGTCCTCATTTTATTTCATGCCATTTGCCAATACAAACAAGGCTCAGTGAATATCCTTGTACTAGCAGCTTTATTTCTACAAGGTAGACTCCCAGGCATTGAACTGCTGAGTCAAAAAGCATTAGATGGACTTAAAATGTTTACAGATATTGTCAGAAGGCACTCCAAAAATGATCGCGACATTCCACGTTTCCACTAGTAATAAACTCTCTTCTGATGAATTCCAGTGAATTCCCACCAGCAATGTAGTCACACTTTTCATGTTTGCCAACCTGATCAGTAAGGTGGGCTATTGCTCTATTATTCTAATTTGCATTTCCCTAACTCATACCATTAGCCAATACTTACACAATGCTTTACTGGGCTTACTATGAGTCACACACTGTATGGAGCACTTTACATAGAATAGCTCTTAATCCTTAACAACAATCCTGTGAGACAGTATTTTAAGTATCTCCATTTATAAGATGCTATACCTGGGACACAGGGAAGTTCAGCAACTTGGCCAAGGTCACACTACCAGCTCATCTGTCTCTAGAAAAGCTTAATCACTCCAATCGCTATACTAGGCTCCAATGTCTCATGCATTCATGGATTTTTGGAATCGCTTTTCCAAAAACTACGTATTTGTATCTCTAACCCATTTTTCTATTGGACAGCGTTTTGACTCTTAAGCTGAAGAACTCTTTGATATAGTAGGTATTAACTATAAATTCTTTATCTATAATCTTTCTTGCAAATACTTTCCCTTAAATGTATCATTTGTCTGTTGATTTTGTTTATGGCATTTTTCACCATGCAACAGTTTTAAAACTTTGTGCTGTCAAATGACAAAGCAAAAGCAATTTAGTAATGAATCTGATGTCCTTTATTCAAAGGAAAACAATCCATGGATTAGAGGGAGTGCCTCACAAACACCAGAGCACCTTCCTGGGAATTTTAGGCAAGAGCAAAGCTTAGGAACAGAAGAGAAACTTAGAAACAGCATGACTGACTAGAAGCTTGGGGATTTCCTGCTGAGGCCAGCAGTTCCTATTTTCTAGGGTAAAGTAAGCTAGCAAACGCTGAGTTGGAGGATTGTGATTAGTGTGTGTTAGTGTATTAGATTTCCTTGGCAGGCGTCTCCCAGAAAGTCCAGGCTGACTTAGGTTTAAATTTGTGATGTGGGCTGGGGGGGCCACTGGGGGCAGGGGGAGCGCCTCCATTTGGTGGATCCCAATATACAAATTTATCTTACCAGTGTCAATCATTCATATATATATATATATATATATATATATGGCTTCTGGTTTTCCTGTCTTAATAAAAATTTCTCTCCAACACGCAGGTTTTGATATACACGCCAAAATCTCTATTTAAGCTTTCTTTTTATTATCTTAGGGCTTCATAAAATCAAAACTTCATTTTTGAATATGGTGTGAGATAGGGATCCAGCTTTACTTTTTTCTAGGTGGAAGCACATGGTGCCAGCACCATTTATTACAATATGTCAACCTTCCTTTCCCTACTGGATTAAAATGTTACCTTTTCATATTGTATATTATATGGTTATGTCTACTGAGATCTGTATCTGGGCTCTTTCCGTGTTCCGCGGATTTTATTGATTTAAAAAACTCCTGTGCTACAATGTACTGCTTGTATCACAGTGGCAAACTGCTGGGGATTTTTTAAGCACTGTTTGCAAGACATCCAGAACCCGGAGGCGGAGAGGAGAGGTGCTTATAAGAGCAAATTGCAAGTGTGAGACGGTAAGAAAGAAATGGGCCGTATCAGGGCAGCTCAACGAGACTATTTTGTGAGATGCAACAACCCAGAATCTGCTGATGAGAAATTCCTGTAAGGTTGATCTTTTCCCCCTTGTGGGGGTAAAATGGGGCCCCCCATGAAGGGGGTGGTCCTTCCACTTTGAATAATGCTGAGAAGGGGTAGATACTAGGACCAGAAACGAAGCCTGGGAAGCTTGCCCTTGGGCTGGGCTGAGGCACAGAGCATTTTCTTCTCTCCTGGCCTCCCTCTGGCAGATGGACTGGGACAGAAGGCAGCGTACAGGGCTGAGCCGCCCAGCTGGGGGAACCAGGCCACGAGACTCTCTGTAATGGCCCCCACCCCTACCCATGTGCTCTGAAAGTAGTCACATCTAGCACTGGTTAGGATACGTTCCCTACTGGATCCTACTTCCCTTCTGATGCCCTCAGCCCCTCAGAAAGTTCCCCTTAAGAGCAGCAAGGCTGAAGGGAGAATTAAGGAAGCTTCTCCCTGATGGGGATGGAACAGAAAACCTTCCTGTGGGAGTGCAGTCAGGCCCTGCCTCCAGGGGTCCACCCCAGCAGGGTCCACCTCGCCTGCAGAGGACCTCCTCGCCTGGTCATTCCCTCTCTGGGCACCTCTGATCTGGGGCCTGAGCGACACAGCTTCTAAGAACCCTGCCAAGTGACACAGGAGCCCTGGATACAAACCTCCTGCAGGGAGTTTTCCATCTGGTTGGGGGAGCCCTTTCACAGTATTGCTCTCAAATAAATATCCTGAAGCCCAAACTCTGTCCTCCCTTCTGCTTCCAGAGAA